CGGTACGGCGTACTGGCAAGAGCTGGTATGCCGTGCCGGACTGGACTGGCTTCTCCAGCGCTAATTTAAAGGGCCCAGGGCTCCAGCCGCTGTGGGGAGCCTCAGGCCCTTTAAATCACCGCCGGAGCTCCGGCAGCCGGGCTCAGGCGGGGATTTAAATGTCCTGGAGCTCTGTCCCCTGCGGGGAGACCCGGGCCCTTTAAAGCGCTGCCCAAGCCCTGCTGCCGGAGCTCCAGCAGCGCTTTAAAGAGCCCAGGGCTCCCTGAAGCGGCCGGAGCCTCCGGCCCTTTCAATCGTTGCCGGAGCCCTGCTGCCGCTACCCCAGCAGCAGCAGGGCTCTGGAGGTGATTTAAGGGCCCGGGGCTCCCCGCAATGGCAGGAGCACCCGGCCCTTTAAATCCCCACCCGAGCCCGGCTTCTGGAGCCCCGGGAGCCAGGCTCCGGTGGGGATTTAAAGGGCCAGGGCTCCCCGCAGCAGCCAGAGCCCCAGGCCCTTTAAGTCACCACCAGAACCCTGCCACCGCTACCCCAGCCCTAGCCTGAGCCCTGCCGCCCCGGGGTAGCAGCAGCAGGAGCCCTGGGCCCTTTAATTCGCCCCTGAGCCCCGGGGCTCCCAGCCACCTCTGCAGCTGGGAGTAGCTCCAGAGTGATTTAAAGGCCCTAGGGTTCCCAGCCACAGTCGGAGCCCCAGGGCCTTTAAATCTTGAAAGGACTCACCTCTTCCCGTTGAGGACACGCCCACTCAGGACTCCGGCATACCGGAAAGTCCTTAAAGTTACTTTCACCCCTGCCTAGCTGCCTAGCAGTTCATCAGACTATGCATGCACCATCCACACAGTTACTTAACATGCTCCATCCCAGGGCTGAGCAGAATGCTTTCTACAATTGCTCCTACCAGCTGCAAGTGTCCTACAGACAACAGCCCAATTCATTCCACAACCTGATTCATTCCCTGAGCACCATTCATCCTGTGCACTGAGTGAGGCAGGAGTCCTGTGGAAAAAATTGTACGTGATCATGTAATGAAAGACTATCATAATACAGACATACAAAGGGGCGGAGTTAATTGTTTCTCGCATTTCCTAACTTTTGAGTGCTTGATTTTGCAACCTTAATATACTTTTAATGTAGGCTTTTTAATATATTTTTGTTTTATATTTATACACTCACAGCACTACATATATTAAGAATAGGAAATCTCAGCATAAAGATTAACTTCATTTATAGCTTTTAAAAAATATAAGTGCTTTTAGAATTAAAGATACAGTGAGACTATCAAGAACGAGAGCTACAATTTAGGGCTTTTTTTTTTCTGACCTATACCCCTCTTCTCCATATCATCCCATCAAAACATGTAAAACTACATTTCTTCAAATCAGCAAAACCAGGGCCTTGGATTTCTCATTGGTCATAGTATGCCTGCCTTTCACACCTGTCTCTTCATTCGCCCTGCCCACTTGGATTTTGTGAACAGCTAGAGTATTGAAAGTTAGCATAAAGTTAGTTGTTGAAACTAAGCTGTATTTTTTTAAAATTGGTTGTGACTCATCTGGCCACTGAAGAACTGAACTGAATCATTCCCTCGCCTCTTACATCAGATTCTGTGAGGCTTCTAAAGCAGACAGAACACTAAGTTCCATCACACTGAAAAGACAAAGAACAGCAAGAAGTAAAGGTAAAGTAAAGCTCTAATTTTGCACTTCACAGATTCAGAACATTTGGGCTTTAGAGCTTGTCTACACAGGAAAACTGTCGCAAAAAAAGTCAGGGTGTGAGTTTAAAGCACCAAGAAGCAAGTACAGTAATTCCTCACTTAACGTTGTAGTTATGTTCCTGAAAAATGCAACTTTAAGTGAAACAATGTTAAATGAATCCAATTTTCCCATAAGATTTAATGTAAATGCAGGGGGGTTAGGTTCCAAGGAAATTTTTGGGGGGCAGACAAAAGGCATTATATACTGTACAGTACTGTACTGTGGTTGGGAACTGCCCCTGGCTTACCTCACAAAGGTAGAGCCCGCTGCAGGCAAGGACACTAGGAAGCATCTTCACGGCAGCAGCTTCCCTGGAGAAGAACAGGTGCCGACTTTGCCGGGGGATGCTCCAGGCCCGCCTCTTCCTGTCCCCGCTCCACCTCCTCTCCGGAGCACGCCGCATCCCTGCTCCTTCCCCTCCACTCCCCCGCGAAAGTCCTAAGCACCACCAAACACCTGAATGGTGGCACTTAGAACTTTCTGGGAGGGAGGGGCAGGAGCGGAGACGTGGCGCTTCCCTGCTCCTCCCCCTCCCTCCTAGCACTTTGCGCTTAAGACTTTCTGGGAGGGAGGGGGAGGAGTGGAGATGCAGCACTTCCCCGCTCCTCTCACTTCCTCCCAGAAAGTCTTAAGCGCTGCCAAACAGCTGTTTGGCGGTGGGGGAAGCGCTGGAAGGGAGAGGGAGGAGGCGGAGAAGAGGAAATTGTGCATTGCTCCCTTGTAAAGTCGCTGCTCTTCCACAGCATCTTACAAGCAGTGGACAGAGCAGGCAGCCAAACGATGTTATAAGGGAGCATTGCACAACTTTAAACGAGGATGTTCCTAATTGAGCAGCGATGTAATTTTGAAACAACGTTAAGCGGGAGGATGTTAAGTGTAGAGTTATTGTAGTGTACTAGCTCCCTATGTGGACACACTTATTCCACACTAAGAGTGCCCATGTGTGGGTTACCTTAGTCCACTAATTCTGCAATAGCTATTTCTCTGGGTAGACAAGTCCTTAGTCAACTTCTGACATCTCTTTCTGTGCATAACTGAAGGAGACAAAAGGAAGTCCGAAGTGCCTCATGCAATCCCCTGCTGGCTCCCCATGCTATGAACTGGAAAGTATTGAAATTCTTAGCATGATAAAACCATTGAAAAAGATGCTGCAATATATTCATTTACATAATAGATATTTTAATTCTATCTTTCCTTTAAAAAATTACCTTTTTTGGGGTTGTTTTTTCCAGGTACTCCTTGCTGGTAAATTCCAGCCTCAAATGACTGAGTCTGTGGCCCCAATTATCAAAGTTGGGCATATAAATTGGGCACCGCCACATTATGCATCTGGACAATCAAATTAGTACTTAGATGCCCAAATACCTATGTCAGACAATTAAATGCCAATGTAGACCTGAAATGGTTAATTAGGAACCAATTGGATCACCATGTTGGCTACATGTTCTTTTAGAAAAACACAAATCTTTGAAAAATGTACATCATTATTTTGGTTCACAATAACTCAGCAGCTGGGAGATGAAGAATGGTAAGAAAATAGCATTTATAGACCTAACATATGTAATGAAATGGGATTTATGTAACTAACTTCTGAAACTGTATTTGAGGATTCATGGAAAAGAGAAACAGTTAACGCCAATCAATCAGGGTAATATCTTCTCCTGCAACACTGAATGGGCAGTGACAGCCCTAAAATATGGCAATTCCGACACAGCAACTATTCACCTTTGATCATTAGGGCAAATCCACACACATAGGCTAGTATAACTGGTTGGACAGAAAGCAGGATGTGTGTCCTGGAAATTACATTCCCAGTACACAAAGGCCATTGAGCGTATGATTATTTCTTCCTACCTGGACATCACTAGAAAGGAGGAGGATTTTTTTATTTAAAGGAAAGAGAAGCAGCCTAACATAAATAAATAAATAAAATACACTTTCTGGCGAGACATTCTATTGTGCCAGACAAGAGGGTCCGACACAAGGATTTGATCTCTTGGAAGCATATGAATGAAACTGACAATAGCCTGCCTAGGTAGACTTTCGGCAATGTAAACCTTAGGTATGTTGAGGAATCTGTTTATTTTTCTATAATTTATTTTTCTGTATTTTTCCTTTAATTAATGAAACTGGTTTTTAAAAGAGAAAAATGCTTCCCATTCAAAGATAGCATGCTGTTTTCCAGCTCAGAGGAGAATCATGCTGCAGGTGTCCTCACACTGTGGGGCCTGCATGACACACAAGTTTCTAAAGCTAAAGGTACTTCTCTTGTTCTGGTCTAAAAGGCAAGAATGGGAGGATCCTCTCCCAAGGAAAGCATATTGTGAACAACTAAAGCCAAGTAACACAAGACACACAGGGCATGCCCACACTTTGAGCCGGAGCTGTAATTTCCAGCTAGAGTAAATGCACATGCATTAGCTTTGATTGAGCTAGCATGCTAAAAATAGCAGGGTAGCTGTGGTGACCTGGATGGATAGCCCCTTATGCCTCCAAGTAGGTTCTGGGGTGGGACTTCACTCAGGCTGGCTAACCTATCCCATTGCCCGTGTGCACCACCACGGCTACACTGCTATGTACCCAAGCTGGAAATTACACCTCCAGCTCCAAGTGTGGATGTACTCACAGATACTGAGGAATAATTGTTACAGGTGGTTCAAAAAGATAACAGATGATCTTGTGATTAAGGCCTGGGACTCAAGAGAATCTGGGTTGTGTTCCTAGCTCTGCCACACAGTCGTTGTATGAACTCAGGCAAGTCACGCAGGACCCAATTTTTAGAAGTGCGGAGAACTCAGTTCTCTCACTGACTTCAAACAGGACAACAGGGGCTCAGCACTTTTGAGAATTAGGCTCTTTAATCTCTGTTCCTCAATGGCAAAATGGACATAGTATGTGACAAGATAAATCCATTATTCCTCCAACCAGAAGTGCCATAAGAAAAGCCAGAAAATAAATGTGCAGGGACAGCATAACACAATATACGCCTCAACAATTGCAACAAAGCCAGCACTTTAGATTCGGTAGCGATTGGTCACATCTTGGCAACTGGGATTTTAATAATGTTGCAACTGTCACTTAGGAGGCATTAGGTATCTCACTGACAGGGGAACTACAAATATATATTATTACAGAAGACTGTCAACAAAAGAAAGTCTCTCTTACATTGCACGCAGCAAATCTATACGGATGTTTCTTCTTTGCATAGCCTGAATGAGGAAAATATCCTTCCAACATTCAATAACTGGATTTTTTTGCACCTAAATTGACGTAATCCTCCATTTGTTGGCATTCTTAATGGTATCTCCTTTGCACTTTTTTGCTGATTCGAGAATGGAGACAGCAACATTCTTCTGTGCCTCTACAAAGTTGCCACCATTCCTTGGGCTTAACAAACTACAAGTATCAGAGAAAGACTCACTTTGCCATTACTGTCGGATAGATTCTCCCCACCCCTTTCCCCTTAGTGGGATTATTGCAAAGAAGAAGGAGAGATAGCTATGGCAGAGCATGAGAGATTTGGCCACTGCTCTATTGCTGCTCAGGATTCCTGTCTTTTGACCTGCTAGTTATTGAGAACTGAGGTCTTCATACTGAAGTCACTTACAGTTCCACAGGATGCTCATGCAACCTTCCTTTGCCCTTTAGGTCGTGCCCAGATTCCTTGTTATTTCTCACAACTGCATGAGAATGACTTTTTTAAAAAAAATGTTGGAAACTAAATAGTAGAGGTTCATGAATCACATAGACTTCCAACTTCGCATCACATAGACTTTCAACTTTGACAAAGTCAGCCCACTGGAGCCATTTTGACAAGGATTATTGTTCCACCAGATTTGGCTATCACCACCAGTGCACCACAGAGTTCTACAGTTTGATGAGGTCGGAGTGACCATGCTAACCAGATTTCAGAATCTGTTTTTTGAAAAATGAGATGTGTACGAGCTCTTCTCCTAAGTCACAGAGTACATAGTAACAAAAAGCAATAAAGAAACCAAGGCTGGACAGCAACTTAACATCTTGGCCAGAAGATGGCAGGGCAATACTTTACACAAAGCTAACTCCCCGCCCCCCCCGCCTGCCACCAAATCTGAACATCTCTCTCCACTGTAAAACTTAAACAAGCAGAGTTCTTCATATAGAACTGAAAAGAAGCATATTAGTACAGGATTCCCTAAACAGCCAATACAGTGGTTACTGAATCCCAACTATTAATTAGCTCAGTAGTGCAACTGCATGCTAATTGCCTCTGTTTTCTGCTCTTTTCATCCTTCTTGGGCAAATTTTCAAAGAAAACACATCTTTCTGGGCCTAAAAACGACAAGACATCACTGCTGTCTTGCAAAGAAGATTATAGATCTTGGTGCTTGTAAAAAATCCTCATAGAGTGCATGAGTACAACTAGTATCGGGATAGCTTCAGCCTAGACATTTTTAGAGTATATTCGCACAGCTCAGTTATTTAACCAACAAAAAAAGAATATTTGAATGTTTTCAGTTTAAATTAAGTGAATGGGAGTTGCACCGCAGACTTCAATGGGAGAATAGTTTGACCAATGCTCAGATACTATTTTGGAAAACCAACAACAAATTATATTCTAAGGTAATAAAGAAGATAGTTGATTACCTACTAAAGACCTCATCCTGTAAAGTTCATTGGATTGATTTCAGTGTAAGTTGCAGACTCCACATTTTGTAGGACAGAGCCCTAAATTAAAACATTTACATGTTGTTCCTAGTATCTACAATTGCCCACAAGTGCAGGTGTAGCCTGCCCAAATCGGTTATTGATCATATTAGAGGCAGCCCTATATTTAAAAGTCAGGACCTTAGTTAATAATTTTTATCCATTACATAGAGATTTGAGATTACAATTATTTCTTTACCTGCATTTCCTTCACGTAAAGATGACAAAGGCTGCCTAACACTTTCATTGAGATCTTTATCATCTGTAAGAGCTTGTGATGTTGCTCTGGCTTCAGAGTCCAATGACATTTGGTTCTCACAGAGACTAATGCCTGCAAAATCACCAGGCAATTCACAGTCTTCGAAGTCTGTGATGAGGTGGTGCAGGGGGGAACCTTGGGCAGACACTGAAAATGCACCTTCCAAAACCAAAGGAGACCCTGGCGGGGACAAGGAAGAAAGGGAGGATCTTGAAGACAGTGATGTCACAGATTTGGGTGGCTCAGTCAATTTTGGAGCGTGGCCTGCTGCAAAAGATCCAGAAGAGTCACTGTAATCCAGTCTCCCATGGGAATTGACCACCTCATTTTCATGAATGGTAGTGATCGGCCCAGAAGGAATGTAACCACTCTTTTCTTGCAATATGAAGTCAAGTTTATACTGATAGTCCAAGTCTGTTATTTGATCGCCTTGGTTATAATAGAGATCCGTGGAGCTGAGGGAGTTTAGTGACCCCCTGCTGGATGTGTTCAGAGACCCCCGACTGGATGCCAGGGATCCTAGGCTGCTCCCTGAAGACACAGATAACGTACTGGCGGAGAGACTGCAAAGAAAGGACAAACAACCATTTATGTTATTAATCTACTATAGACCTGATCACCAGCACACAATAGTAAAAATTGAGGTCTGAAGGAGTGCACTCATAGACCACAAAGGAGATGCTATCCCTATAACAGTGACATGAGGTATTTAAATTATAATCCTGTCAGGGCAGTGAACGGGTCTTTAAATCCTCTGTACAGTAGGTAGCCCTCTGTCATGACTATAAAATTAACAATAATGTAATATCATAAAGTCAGACTTTAAAATGGGAAAAATGTCACTGGGGTTATCTTTCATTGCAACAAATATTTTATTTCTGTAAAAAATAAGTTAACTGAAAAGAAAAAATAAAATCAGAACAAACTGTTTACACTAATGTTTACAAATATGTGCATGCATTGAGGCTCTGTCAGTAATAAAAGCTGACGTTCGTGTAGTCAAGCTTATAGATACAGTCATATTAAAAAAAACCCAAGGATTTTCATTAGGAACAAGAGTTTTTTGGAGACATCTCATGTACTAAAATGGTTGCTAACCATTTTTTTTAATCTAAGCAAGAAGATGCTTCGCTCTCTTCTTAATTATAAAACATGTGCAAAAATCCATTCTTGTACACTTACTAAAGTTATATAGATACAGTAGATTTGCACAGAGAATGCTAGAAGCAACTGCACCTATCTATCTTGCCACAATTATCAAAATGAACTTGTTTCAGTCTCCAGCTAGCAGAAAATCTAAGAATGAAGTACAGACATATTCAGTGCTGCTGCACCATAGCTGAAAACAGGTCTTTATTTTTTTCTTGTTAAAACAATGTAAAATGCAGCCTTACCTTTTAAGCTGCGAATGCAAATAAGTAGTTAACTTTGTAGTTTCTTCAAGTTTCTGAACCAACTCTTTTCTTCTCTCTTCCAATTTCAACCTGGAAAAAGAACTATATTCAAGTATATAAAGACATTATAAAATATACAAGGCACAAAGTAAATATGCAAGAATATTTTATAGATAAGAAACAAAGCTAATGCCTCCAACTCCTCCTTAAAACCCATTTCCTTACCTTACACCTTGCTTGTCATTGCTAATCAGTTCAGACTCTGATTGGTCTCGCCCTAGCTTCCAACTACATTGTACAGCCTAAGATTCTAAGCAATTTAGAATAGGGACTGTGAAATGTAAGGCATCACACAAACCTGAGTCATCATGCAAGTAATAAATAGGATCTGTATACACACGATACCGAGAGAAATGTCATGCATGCAAAGAGAAAGAAAAGAACGGGGATAGCAGTTTGGAAAACATCCATAACTTAAAAAGAGTAAAAGCTGTATCTATTGCATTTTAGGAAGCTGTATATTGGCTGCTTATCTAATATAGTTCCACCAAAAAAAACCCCCAGGAAACTAAATAGGAAAGCAAGTAATAGTGTAAATTCTGAAAATTTAAGAACTCTGGGGAACAGTGTGGAAAAAAACTGAAAAACTGAAGCAAAATCACTAGGGTTTGTCTACGTGGAGACTTAGCAAGCAGCAGGCCAGGGAGTAAATCTAACAGCACACCAGCTTTGTGCAGCAACTCGCTGCATGGACACTGCTACTGTGTACAGTAAGTTCCATAGTGTACGTTGACATACTGCTGTTTGAAACAGGAATCAAGACGAGTCCCTTTGTACATCGGATGCTTCATATATGGATATAGAAAAATATTTGATACCCAAAACAGGATCCAAGTTAACAAGTAGGTTTAGAATTCAGAGATGTTGGATAGTATCTAGGAATCCAGGACACACAGTACTGCTCCCAAACATTCAAGTCTTTGCTCGATAGAGTCATAGACGTTAGAGATGAGATCCCCCCATCATCATCCAGCTCATCTTCATCCCAACGTAGGATTGTTCCCTACTGTACATTTGTCCAGTCTAGCTCTAACGAGCCAAGTGGTGAAATGCGTCTGTTTCTTTTGACTGACAATTCAAAAGTCTGACAGATCTGTCAGAAAAGCTCTTCCTACACTTAGACTCTTGTTCAGAATTTTATCTTAACATACCATTTATTGATACCTTCATAGATTCATAGATTCTAGGACTGGAAGGGACCTCGAGAGGTCATA